TTTTTAAAAAAAAAAAAACTGAAGGTCACGTTTGATGAAATTATCTTCATGCCCCAGAGAGCAGGAAACAGATTTTTATGTAATTCCTTTTTTTAAAAAATGCTTTGTTAAAAATAAAATAAACTGGCAGCAGTAGGCAAACGTATGTTGGGGAGCTGCACTTGGGCCCGTGGCTCTACATGCAACCTTCAAAGGGTATTTTGACCACCCATGGAATGAAACATGGGAGAAGACTTGATAAAATAGACCAGTGTGTATCTGTTGCCTGCCCAGCCTGGAATAAAGAGACGAGACACGTGACATGAGGTAACTGGGTGTAGCGGGCCACTCTGACGCCTCTGTCAACTCAGGCCTCCCAGAGTGCTCACTACTCTTCTTCTACTGCTGCCACCAAAGTTTATTCAGTAATCAAAAAGGACAAGTGTTTCTTCTAAAACAAAAACTGTGTTTATTGATTTGACAAAATAAAAGGAGTGAATTACAGGTGGTAAATCAGGTTGTAAATCAGGTTTCTCATCTAATGTACCTCACACAGACTTTTCCCTCACTGACTATTTCTCACAAATCTATCTCACTCTCTCAACCAATTTCTCTCATCTCCCCAAACTCCAAAACTCCCTCTCTCACACATCACACACACCCCTTATATAATCCAGCTCCTCCCCCTTCTGCACCACCCTTCGTCCTCTCATTGGCTGATGTTCCCCTGCCCAGCTGTGACGGACAGGTGAGAGCAGAGCTGTATGTTACACTGGGCCCCAATTTCATTAACTTTAATAACTTTAATTCCCTTTTTACAAGGGGGCCTACATAGTCAGTTTTGACTCTCCGAACCAGACCTCTCTTTAGTGAATTCCTAATCCACAAGCATGCTGTTCTACTATACAGCACGCCTCCGGGCATAAAGTAACAGGAGAACTCTGCTTCCCCTCCCCTCAGCTAACTTCTGCTAATTCCAACCTGAGAGGAGGGGTGCTCGGCACCCCCTAAATGCCACCTTTTGAACTCACTTGAACCTATTCCTTTTGCACTACCTGCCACAGGAATGGGGCTACTACGTATGGCCCATACCCCCCACCAAGCCGAAGATCTCGGCCCTAAGGCCCCCTTGCAAATCAGCTAAGAAAATATCTAACCCCATGTCCGACAAATGAACACCATCAGGCCGATATAACTGGATATTCTAATGTTCAAATGTGATATAAACTGACCCTAAGCCTTGCCTAACGACCCTGCCAATTTCCTGGTTAACTCCTTTCCTGGCTGTATCTATAAGCCTTGGGTCACAATCAACTCTCCATAACTGTCTTGGAACTATAGCTGACCATACTATATGTGTTGATGGACAGCATTCCATGAACACCTTCAGGTCCACTAAAATATGAAGTATTCAGGGCTTGCATGACTTCCGAGCCAAGTCGTTGCCCCCCAGGTGGACCACCAAAAATGTCCGGGACCACCCGCGAGGGATCCAGGGGCACCATATCAAGGAACCTGTCCCACAACAGGCCTCTCCGTCCCCTCCATTCAAATGCAGTGAAGGTGCCCAGTCCCAGGTTTCAATCCCAACTGGTCCGACTGGAGTACTTCGCAACCCAAAACAGGTAACTGTGCCCAGCCAACATAACATGAACCCAAGCCAACGGGCTCTGTGGACCTCAAATAAAGAACACAGTACACAACAGCAGCACCTAGGACTGAGGCAGCTAACATAACATGAACCCAAGCCAATGGGCTCTGTGGACCTGAAATAAAGAACACAGCACACAACAGCAGCACCTAGGACTAAGGCAGGGGGCGCACATAATCACGGTAACACTGTGACGCCCATCTCCCCACTTTTTGGATCTCTTCCTTTCTGTAGCCAAGCGCCACAGCAGTAGACTCAGCTCCGATACGAAAGGAATGTGTGCCAAAGTTCCCCTGCCAAACATCAACTGCTAAGATCCTTAGCTAGGATTCTCCTTGGCTGCTGTAGGAATCCCTGCACCATAAATGTATGCGTAATTGATAATGTTTTATTTTTCCTTCTTATCCTCCTCACCTACTCTTCCTGCTCCAAGATGCTTTTAGTACTACTACTGACAGCAGTAGATAATAGGGAATATTATCTACTTTTCCTGTTCATGAACAACTCCTTCATGCTATGTTTAATCTACAGGGGAAGTATGCTGCCCAGATGAAGCACAGAACTGGGTTTCGGTTGGTATTGGAGATTCTTGCTGCCAGGGAATTCCATACTCCATCTCAGGGAACCAGATATGTTGTGGTGGATCACTGCATGATGGCTTCAATAAGCAGTGTTGTGGTGGACAAGTAGTAAGCAAAGACCTCAGCTGCTGTGGTGATCAAGAAAACGGGAAAGCCTATCGACCAACAGCAGGTATTCCCTCAGACTATTCCTTCACTGTGCTCTTGTACCATTCTCTGGGACTTTCTTCATTGCATGAGTATTGCAAACACAATCAACTTGTCAAGATGCTATTTTCCACCCTTGATCAACTAACAAAACAATAACAACAGTAAGAGAAATGCAGCCCAAACTGGATGCTGCAAATTATACACCCCTGTGTCCATTCACCAAAACCAGAGCAGAAGTTGCTCACAGGAAAAATTGAAGTAGTGCAAATAAATCTGTAAAACAAAATGGGTGAAGAACAAAGTCCCGGATATCTGAGACCCAAATTAGAATATCTATATCTCCAAAAAGTGGAAGATCTACCTCCCACAGATCTGAATATACAAACTTTAAGGCCCTAAAACAAAATATAGATTCAGCTATAATTGGTAATATCACCACATGGATTCACCTTTCCGGTGGCCCTCTGTACAAACACATTGACATTCTATTACTTAAACAAAGATGGTAAGGTCCTATATTGTCCTTAATGGGAACAGCAGCTCCTGCCCTCTCCAGCAGCCCTCCTCTCGTTCTCCACTGGAATTTAGAATCACAAACCCTTTCTAAGATTTTGCTGCCCATTGGGGTGAACCAGAAGTTTGGGTTTTTTGTTTGTTTTGTTTTGTTTTTTTCTAAATCATAAGACAGGATATTCTTTGTATACAATATAATCAGAGAATAGATCGATATTCTTTCTAACCACCCATCTATGGCTGTTAAAGAGAAGTGGATGGAAAAACCCCCAACTACAATAAAGTTGCCATCCAACTAATTTTAGACAAGGGATTGAAACCTAAGCCTATTCTCTCCCCCCCCTGTCATAGAATTGCATTGCTTTTCTTAAAGTAGAATTTCTTAAAGAATTTCTGCTGAAATTTACATGCATATTTGTTCATGTCTTTCCCTCATGTGCACATTTTTCACACGTTTAACCTATTGTATAAATCAATTTGTGCATTTTATCTAATTTTTCACACACAGAAACCCATTGATGAAAGGGTTGCTGAACACACATTTTCAGTAATGCATATCTTAGACATTTGTATGTTAGAATGGACAGGTGTAGGCTTTATTGCTCCAGCACATGAAAGCATGAACATTTGGCTACTTACGCACATTTCTTCTTGCTACCAGTCTTGGGAAGTTTAAAAATGTTATTTTCATAGAAACTATAGAGTTGAACAACATTACTTTGCATTCCTTCAGATGCTGGTTCAGTGATTCAACACAGTTTGTTTCCTAGCAGAACAGCTGATCCACCCTGACTCTTCCAGGTGCCTGCTGGAGAGCAGAGGGCACCAAACCACAGATCAGATGTTTGGCTACAAAATGAACTGTGCCAAACTATTGAACCAGTGGCTCATGCCCATCTCTAACTGCCTACTGATTCAGTCCAAGGGAAGTCCAATGTTAGTGACTGTATAGTCCTAATATGACAAATAAGTTGCAGCTACCTTATGATGAGAAAGGAAATTTGTCACCTTGTGTCAAATAAATAAGTTCTTTAAATATTATAACCAGCATTCTATTATTGTTTTCCACACAGGGGCATTCAACAGAATTTTTATTTTTTTTTTAGGATTCGGGGGGGGGGTTTGCTCATCATATGGCCAATCATCCATTGCACGACCATGTAATGGACAGCTCAGAAAAAAACTCACATCGTTTGTGCAAATATTCTTATGCAGTCAGCTAAGACCACAGGATTCTGGCAAATATAGATGTACTTTAGTGATAAACAACTATTTGTATGTTAATTTAGTTTATCTTCATTAGTTTGTGGCAAATTGTCATACTTTGGTTCTTCTACTTCTTCATGAGTAACAAGAATACTGTATCGTCTTGGAAAGTGCATTCAGATGAACAGATAATTTATTATTTAAGTGGAAAGACCAGTATTTGAATTATTTAAAGTACAAGACTGAAAGGAAAATGTGTCTTAATTTTACATAGGATTCATTTATAGAGTTGGGAGCGAAACAGTATTGTCAACCAATAGGACTTGGTCTATATTAAGAAACAGTTTCATACATTTATAGAATATTTTCAAAGAGCCAGTTGTTACATTTTATTTCTTAGGATTTTGTTGTTGCTGCTGCTGCTGCCTCTCCACAACAGCATTTGTTAATTTATACCCCAGATAGGCGGGGTATAAATTAAATAAATAAATAAATAAATAAAAATAAATTTGGGCAGGTAGATGTATACCTGGATACTGAAACAGAATTCACACACACATTTTTTGAAACAACTTTTGTCCATATCCACATAAAACAAAGTTTGTCAAAGAAGATGAGAAGGAATAGTGGACAGTACCAACAGCTATAAATACGTACTCAACTCCCAAACAAACTGCAACAGAGCACAGAGTGCTACTCCTATCCTCTGAAGATGCTGGCCACAGAGACTAGTGAAACGTTAGGAAGAACAACCTTCAGAAGACAGCCAAAGAGCCCGAAAACCCACAACAACCATTAGATCCCGGCTGTGAAAGCCTTTGCAAATACATTGATATGCTTTGACTGGCTTAAATAGTCTGTCCAGGTTAGTTGTATTTGAAATCCAGTCTCATAATATCCATATGTGTGGTTAGCTTTTATTAATATACCAGAGATTACTCAAAGATTGTTATCTGTGTATACCTATCAGTGGTGGACTTACATTTTTGGGTTCCAACACCTGAACTGTTATGGAGGCTCCTTTGCAACCACCAACAAGGTCTGGGTAACCACTGTTATTTTCTTCAGTGGGGGTGTTCCACGACGTATCATCACACCTTAAAAAAATGGACTAAAGAGCTTTGTGGCGCACTGGTTAAACTGTACTGCAGCCAAAACTGTGCTTACGGCCCAGGGTTCAATCCCAGGTAGCTGGTTCAAGGTTGACTCAGCCTTCTATCCTTCCAAGGTTGGTAAAATGAGTACCCAGCTTGCTGGGGGGAACAATGTGTAGCCTTCATAATTAACTTGTAAACCGCCTAGAGAGTGCTTTCAGTGCTATGGGGCAATATATAAACAGCACACTTTGGGTTTTGTTTTGTTGTTGTTGTTGTTATTTCTTTGTTTTACCTTTACTGAACAGCTTCTGGGGCTGTTCCAGAATTAGGGACCCTGAAGTTTAAGCTTCATCAGTTTCATAGCAGATCTGCTTTTGACACCTATTATTTGTTTGTGAAGTAGGTCCATGTTAGATATATTCTTTTCAAATCTTCAATTGTCTACCTCACTTGAAAAGCATTGAATTAAAAAGAAAAAGGTCCATTGATTGCCTGTTAATACAGCTATCACTGCCAGTTGCTTTCCCTCTCACTAAAGTAGCACCTCAGAGTACTTTCTCTCTAAAGTAGCCTAATTGTTTACAAGTTATTTTGATGATAAATGGGAAGGGTGTAGACATCTGTGCAATAAACAAAATACAGTAACATAAATATATTTCTTCGCCTTGCTCTTCTGACAAACTAACAGCTGATCATCACTTTTGTCAGCAATTTAACAGTGTTGTGCAAGCGTGGGGATGGATCAAGGAAACCTTAATTCAGCTCAAACCAAGGCAGAAATAGCACATTAGGTTTCTCTCAAACTAGGTCCCTTTGTATGGGAATGCACTGTGTGGCCACCACGACAAAGCGCTGGATCGTAAAAACATCTCCTTACGCACTTTATTACTTAAACTCTTTTTATTTGCCTGCAGGAGCCCTTTAACAAAATCACATTGAATTGACTTTCTCACACCAAATCAAATCTCCCTGGTCCCAGTTCAGTTGTCTTTGTCAATATGTATTTTATAAATGGAGCGAATTAACAGATGCTGTTGGAAGAGAACTGCTGGGGTAGCGTTTATGTTTTTACTGCTCTCTCTGGGCAGATGAGTTGAGTAGGAGTGTAATACAGGTACCTTGGGACGAAAGCCCATGTTCTACACTTTAGTGTGTGTATAGACATATGTATTCTTAACTGGGATTCTCCCCCCCCCCAAAAAAAATGTATAGATTTGTAACTGGGCAAATTTTATAATGTTTTCCCTTTTAGATTTTTCAGCCTTTGTACAGGCTATATTCTCTGTGGACATTTGCTATTTTTAAAAAAAGTTACAATAGTCTCATTTCTGCCTATAGAGATAAATTAAATTAGGAAATGATTTGGCTATAGGTTGTTGTTGTTGTTTTTTAAAGACTCCCTGGCCTCTTAGGGGGGTGCTAATGTAGCTTATAAAAAAATATAGTAAAATCAAATATAAGACATGTTAAATCAGCCAAGAGAATTATCCTAGCCACAAATCTACAGGCTGGAGATGATTTAGATGGTGTATAGGTTTCTCCTAGTACTAGGATCCAATATGGAGCATGGATGGGGGCTCAAGTGGCGCAACTCGCTGTCAAGTCAGACTTAAGTTGCACCAACAACTTGACTCGGTCTGGGTTCACGGGTTTTTTTCCCAATGACTCAGACTCGACTTGTGACTTGGAACCCATCTACCCCTCCCTTTTTCTGGGGGAAAAAGCTTTTTTTAAAATAGGAACTCGGATTTGGGTCTTGAGACTCGAGGTTTGGTACCATAGACTCAGACCCAAAGACTTTCCAACATTCCTGATTTTAGGGAACTTAGACATGGCCTTGGATTTCAAACCCTTCCCCCAAGAGGCCAAAGGACTGCCATGTAAAACACAACCTACTCTCTGAGCTTAGCTGGTAGAGCTTTGGAAGTTCTAAACTACCTCTATCCTTCTACATGCTTCCATTCTTCTTCAGTTTGCTCTTCTCTCCACTTCCTATCTGCACACTTTAAAAAATCAATGAAAGGGATGTGGAAGCCAAAACACCATAGCTAATGCCTACCATGTACAGTAAGGAATGAATTTACTGAAATAATTTTGCAAGCATGTCAAATAGCTGCTCAGTCCACAACAACCCCATTAGCATAGGAGAGTTAAATATCTGAAGAAGAACTACATTTGCAGTAACTTTGGCTGGTGTAATTGCTTC